TTTAAACTAAATGGCGGCGCCCAAGAATCGTGATATTTGTGATGATAAAATTGCGAAAGTTTTCGGTGTTGGTGTCCTCAAGCCTCATCAGGTACAGGCAATCGACGCAGTTTTGTGTGGGAAGGATATCTTCATAGCGACAAAAACAGGAAGTGGAATTTTGTTTTATAATTTGGTACGTCCAAGCTGATTGGTCGCCTTGTTTCGAGGCGCGCCCAATCAGATCTCACTGCTTAAGATACGCAATTAGCCTATGCGATCCCGCACGGTATCGTGTAGATGCCTATAGGTCGAAGACACGAGACTGTGCGATATGGACGATGTAGCTGTACTTGCAATATACAAGTTATTAATAAATGAATATAAATATGCCCTAATTGTAATTTACAAGTTATTAGTAAATAAATTTGAATATGTAGAACCTGTGATATAAAAGTTGTTAAAAAATATTTAAATGCACTGTGCTTGCAACATTAATAATGGTAATAACTATATATCTAAGATATAAAACATGTGTGACCAAAACTTCTGTCTTCCATACTTTGCTTACTGTCAATAATGTTCAATGTACAATATTCAAAACCTATCTACCCTATTCAGGGTATTGCAGACTAATACTACAGAAGATTTTATTTTAGTTTCTCTATTATCAGGATTTTTTAGTCTCTGGGGCAAGTTTTTAAGTTTACAAAACGTTCGGGTTAGACAGGTAAAATGTTTACGAAGTGTTCAATTTATAAAGGTTACCAGTTTACCAAGTGTTCGGTTTAGAAAGGTAACCAGTTTACCAAGTGTTCAATTTATAAAGGTTACCAGTTTCCCAAGTGTTCGGTTTAGAAAGGTAACCAGTTTACCAAGTGTTCAATTTATAAAGGTTACCAGTTTCCCAAGTGTTCGGTTTAGAAAGGTAACCAGTTTACCAAGTTTTCGGCTTAGACAGATATTCAGTTTACATTGTGCATTTTAGACAAGTTTTCTGATTACCGATACAGTGTTTGGTTTTAAACAGTTTTTTTTTTTTTTCAACGTTCAACTTTCTAATTATATAGTGTTCGGTTCAGACAGGTATTTATAAAAGATGAATGCAGGATGACGACAAAACTTAGTGTACATGCTTTAGCATTTTTTCATTTAATTTAGAAATCACAGACAATGTTCAATTGTTTCACTTTTCCGGAAATCACAATGTTGCAAAATTAGAGGCTACCAACTACATTTGTGTAATACTTGGTCTCCAGATTTTGAAAAATTCCTTTGAATGGAACAAACAGAAGAGGAATGTTTACAATCTTGTCACTCGCATTTAAACAAACACATATTGTACTTGATTACCACTTTTCCTGTACAGGACACTTTAAAATATAATTGTTGTCAAAACTGCAAATTTGTTAATTAATTTCCCAGTTTTTTTTTTTTTTTTCCTAATGTTTGTATTAAATTTATGGCCAAATTGGCCATTTTAGAGCATTTCTTGAAATTTTGTAAAATACAAATTATTTATTTGAGTTTTATGATGATTAGGCCGTTACAGTGAATTTCATAAAGGCAGAAATGTTTTTAATGAAATTTATCAAAAATTTATAAGACCCACACTCTTTATTCAAATCTAAAGACTATGCTTCCATTGGCTACTAGTATTGGGAACTCCCAAAAGTCTTTGCTGGTTTCCTTTAATTATTTTAAGATTATTTTCTTAAATCTGTTGTAACTAGAAAGAAACGTTATTTGTCCAGGTTTTAAAATTTCCTAGTGGACTAGTGAAAAATTACCGGTAAAAAGTCACCGGTTCTGAAAAATTATGAATATTTTTCAATTATGGTTTATTTATCGTGAACAGAAATTTACCCACACAATAGAAATGCTTTATTCAATGCAAATGTAATGTTTGGGTTTTTTGATACAGTTTTTGCAAATTTATGAAACAGTTCAATGACAATTTTCATGGGTTTGACAAACTAGCATAGTTTTGAAGTTGTGTAGTCAGATAACGAAATCTAGCGATCTAAGGCATCAGACTACCATATTTTTTAATCCCTTGTTTTCTGGCGTGAATTCATGAAACTTTTTCAGTAATGTATAGACAATATTGTGCAATTATTATAAGAAAATTATTTCAACAAGTCTTAATTTGATATTTGTGTCTGTTCCTACGGTATATTAATTAGCTTCAAAAAAACTTGTTGGGACACGTTTTAAATTAGAATTTTATTGTCTGTTGATCATTTGTATATTCAAATGTTACTTCATTTTAAGATATTGACAATTTTATTTCAATTTGTGAAATAAATAAATATGTAAAGAATAAATGTCACTTTTGTATTCTTTGTATGTGACCTACACATACCCATTAATTTATTTATTTGTTTAATCTGTATTATCTTTATCACATATTTTCTTTGTCCATGTTTGACTTGAATTACAAAGATGAGAACAGTTTTGTTTGTCATGTGTGTGTGAGCTAAGCAGGTGATTGGTTGGAAATGCGAGTCTCGTCTATGATGATGCTTGTTCATCAGGATTAATTGTTCTGACATCATCATCTAGTCATTGTCAGTCTGCACAAAAGGAAATGCATGTTATTTGCATACTGGCCACATCAAATCTTTGATGGAATTATAGAAAAACATTAAAACCTGCCAAAAAAAGCTATATAAAAATATGCATAGTTGTTGCATGGACTATAAATAACAATGAAAATAAACAAACAGTTCATCATCGTCATCATCATCATCATCATCTAAAACGCATTGATTTTCTAATAACTCAGCACAGTCTAGAAACAAACGAATGTAGAGGCAAGTGTGCGAGTTTTGATATGGGCGAGATGGATGCATGTTGGCTAGGAAAGACTTTATAAATCGTGGCTCTACGCAAAACTTGGAAGTTGCGCGGTTGATGTGTGTGCTTTGCATTGTGATAAATCAAATCAACAATCGTGTTCGAATGTCACCCACATCATCTGTTTTCAATTTGAAATTGATCTCATTCAAATCTGACGACTGGATTTCCACTCTTCATTCTGAGAAGTGCTTGCCTATTATATGAGTTGGAACGGCCTGCATTACGTGTAATTAATAATAATATAATAAGTATATTTATTGCATCTTTAGAAATACAGTATTTCTATCAGTACAGTAGCAATAAAAGTATAACAAAGTATAATAATAATAATGAAATAATAAAGAAAGAGAAAATATTATAATTTTAATATTATAATTATTAATGTACAAGTATATAAGTAATTATGCTAATGAATATTTATGTTTGTAAATAGTCTATAACATACCAGCATCACTAAGGAGTTAAGTTGTAACAACAACACAAGCATTCTTTCTACAATTCATGAGTTATAAATAGTGTAATAAAATTAGCATTGTTACTGGCATAGGTGCTAAAGGTATTCATACCTGTGGCTTGGTCAACCCAACCCTGTCTCTGAATCCAATCACATTTATGATGTATTATGCAGGTTGTATTTTATTTCATTTTTACTGTATTTTTGTATTATTTTGTAAGTTTTATTGGTTTTAATATACACATGTGCTTTCACAATTATCAAAACTACCAGCAAATAAAAAATAAAATTTGCCCTTATCATTTGCTCATATGTTCACGTGAATTGCAGAAATGTGTGTTTGGTTGAAGCGGGAGTGTCGTCACCTGCGCACGTGCAGGAATTGAGTCCCAAGCGATGATAACAACACAAAGGCTCATGGGTAGACGCTTGTTTTTAAACAATGAAATGATATGGCCATCTGACGCATGCGCAGATGACGACTCCCTCGCTTTAAAATAAGTTGTACTTTTAATGATCCAGTGTGCTTTACATGCAACTGTTGGATTACATGCGTGTCTATCTGAAATGTACTTCTAATAGAACAAATCTGAAAAATAGATAATTGAATACAAATGATAAGGTAAGAAAAATGAAGAGCCCAAGGTAGAATCTAATTCTAATCACTATTTGTAAACTTCAATTGTTTAGCTCTATGCTTGCAGTACTTCTACAAAACGCATTGATGAATTACATGTTACTACCCCTTCCCATAAAGTGGACTGTTCTTCTTGCTAATTGCAGAATATAATACTCTGTTTATTAACGACCTTCATAAATAATTATATTTAGTTTGTAAACAAACATAGTCAATGTCCCTTATAGGGATATGGATTTTGCAAAGGATTGTGGGATAGAAAAATAACTTTAGAAGTTATTTGGTGGGGGTGGGGAAACTCGTATTTTTTTCATACAGCCCTGTGCTAACATCAACTGTAAACCTCCCCTGTTTTCAAGCAAAGCTTGTATGGTTATATTAATGGACTTTCAAGTAATTTCACTGTTTTGAAGATTTTTTAATGTTTTTGGCTGCAAGCTGTCTAAGGAACCATAGGGTAAGTGTATCAGATGTCTACTCACTCACTCATTCCTATTTATGCTTTATTATTTTCCATATCACAGTTAAAAAAACATGCATGCTAGTGTGACTTGACGATGGAGGGAAGTGCACCTAGATATGATCGGATGCTGTAAGGCCAGACTTTTTTTATTCCTTGTTTCGCGAGTTTTTATAAGCCAATTTTTTTGAGGAGGGCGAACAAAAAATAAAATTCTTTTTTTCCATTAGATTTGTGTGATTCTCAAATTGTAAGTGAGATCATTGATCGGAGAGAAGAAATGAAATAAAATGTTATTCCATATATAACCTTGTTTCTCATCTGCGCGAGACTTCGGTACTTTGATCATGATACTCCCATGAAAATGCAACTTGGATTTGTTATGCGGCGGGCGTTAAAAAAATGAAGATAAAAATAATATTTTTTTTGCATTTTTTTGCGCTTACAAGTCGGCGTGCGCGAGAAATTACGCTGAAATAAAATTATATTTTTATTTCATTTTCGGCTCCTGTTCATTCGGTGGGTTCGCGAAACAAGGGATAATAAAAGTCTGGCCTAATGTAAATAATGAATGAAATTAAATGAATGCAAACCGTCATCAGCGACGCATATTTATGTGCTGCTGCAACCATTTTT